CCCCAAAACCCCAAAACCCCAAAACCCCAAAACCCCATCATTTACAATAAACCTGTGAAAATATGAAGTGATAATATAAAAGTTAGTATTATTTAGCAAAGTAAATGATTGATTGATTATTTTTAACTAATTTTGATCATTATTTGATTCAAATACATTATGATTTCATTGCTCTTATTCATTTCCTTGATTGTTGTTGATGTTATTTGAGCTTTTGTATTAATTTTCATTGCTTGAATTAGCATTATTTTAATGTTGCTGTTGTTGCTGAAGCTATTGCTATTATTGCTATTGAACTTGGTTTTAGAGATAGGTAGTTTATTACATGATATTATACTAAGGTTGAAGATGTTTCTTTGGCTGAAGCAGAAAAACACTGTTTGGTTAAGTATTTCCTACACCACTAGCGTTTCCTGTAGCAACAATAAGTGGGTAAGGATGGTGACCACTTGGCATCAGGTTTTATAATTAAGAAGCTGATAAATTATGTTGCTATCCATTAAGACTTTCTTGACTAGTTGACTACTTTATCTAACTATTTTGCATATTTTGAATATTTTATGCTTGCTAGTGAGTCTGCTATTATTATTATTATTAACATTGCTGTTGTTGCTATTAAGCAGGTGGTTTTCCTGGTTGATTTTGGGGTTATGAATCCATCTATGGCTCCAAAAGAAGTTCATCCATTAGTAACTAGAATGTCATCTAATTTGCCTTTCCATTACCAGCTTCTTTCAAAATTTCTTCACTGTTTAATGGTTTCTTTTGCAAAGTTTAGGATAAATCTTACTTCTTCAGTTCAGGCTACTGCTATTACTAACTAAGCTGTCCCATACTAGACATTTAATTTAATTATTAATAGAAACCACTTGGTGATTAAAGCTATTACTATGGAGGTTAATTCATGTATTTCATATGATTTCCATAATGATTATTAATTTGGTTTTGGTCTATGTTTTAAACAATAATAGTTTTAGCTCCTTCCATCGTTTAGTAAGTCATTTAGTGATGCATAGGCTAGATTATCTCATTTTTCATTCCTTTCATCATCTCATCACTGCCAGTTCTTGAAAAGGATGTAAAGTCATCTTTCTTAAAGAAATCACTTAATCCCCTCAAGTCAGCTCCAAAATCTTCACTTTTAAGCACTGGTGATATTTCTGATTTCTAATTTTAGCTTTGTTGAATCTTGAGTAAACCACTATTCTCATCTAAATTTTATTAAGGAATATTTTCTCTTCGTTAATTCATTCCCATAGTACTCAGAAGGTTTTGGCCTGAGCTTACAGTTCTCAAAGTTGAACCAGGTCCTTAGTACTACTTGAATGCTGATCCTGCAAGTGATTCTGTTCCCTTTTTATTCGGACTTTCAGTTATTGATTGATCACTAATATTCATTACTCTATGATATTAAGGTTAACCTTAATTTCCATCTCTTTGCTATCCAGCAAGATTGAAATATGGGGCTTAGACTGGCTACAAAATAAAGAATTACTATCCATTATGTTGCTAACTACCTGGCATGCTTATTATAGGATGAAACCCTTAGATTAATTATGGCTGACCACTCATTAAGTTTTATTGGGATAGATTAAGAAGGCCATATTATTCTAAAGTCTATTAAGGAACGGAAATAAGTTCGCTTGATATTGAATGGGGTATTCCTGAGTTCATAGCAAATTTCTCATTTACATTTTAAGTCCTTCCAAATTGAGCTCTGTCATAATTCTAAGTTTCCTTGTCTTGTTTATTCATAGATCTCTCAGAAATAGATCTGCCAAATGTTGCTATATTTAGATTATCAAAAAACAAAATTTTAAATATACATTCATTAACTCCTATTTATTAGTGAAGTTAGGCATCAATTAATACTTATTGTATATCTTTGAATGAAGGTGTCCTTTGACTGTGCTATAATTATTCTGGATTGCTTCCTTATCTACTCACAGCACCAGCCGCTGCAGATCCAGAATTGTTTTGATTTGTCAATGAGTTTTAGATTTATTACTTTTCAACTTTTTCAGGTTCTCTGAAGGACTTCTATAATCAGATCTTATTTGGGTCATTATTTACATCTAGTAACAACTAAGCATCTAGAAGAGAATTTCTTTAGATAATCTCTTCATCTTTGTCATTTCTTCTTATTCTCTTTTATAAATCATATTTATTCTCATTATCATCTATGTTGTTTGCTTCCTCTCTTGTTCGTTTCTTATCGTTTTAATTGATTTATGAGATTTGATTTTGCTCGTCATATTTCATTTATTCTTTAGCTGACTTATTTACTTGCACAGATTCTTCCTCATCATCATCTTGCTTTTATCTTTAATTATTATTTTTTGCAGCACCACCTCTAGAAGAACTTTTAGCTGGCTTTTTTTCGACCTCATCATCAAAATCATCATCATTATTGAAGCTTTTGTAATACTAGAAATTAAAATTAGATATATAATTTAGATAATTTTTGTGGAAGAATTTTCTTTAAATTTTCCTCTCAAATTATTGCTGGGTAAAATGATTTTACTTACATCTTGGTTAGTATATGTTTCTTCTTAATTTATTTTCTTTCTTGAAATTTCTTAGATGACCTCAATACTATCACTTTTATATTAGATCAATTTCGAGTCTTAGTCGTCAAAAATTGTTAACACTATCTAAACTCCTGTAAGCAGTGCTAACTCCATAGCCTTTTTTATCAATCCCTTCTTTCTTTTGGTCAAAGTTACCTATAAATAAGTTAATCAGTCCAATCCGATTTTTATAAAAATACCTGTCTAAGTCTCTCATCAAGAATGCGCTAAATTTTAATTTTTCTCCTTCCCATTTTAGATCAAACTTTTATTAATAAATATATATTTAAACAGAAAATCCTAAATTTATCATCTTACTAAAATTGCTCGTTTATTTATAAACTTATTACTATTTTTATCAAAGCCAAATTATTGCCCAGGTGGGGTTTTGGGGTTTTGGGGAGATCGGAA